CCCTCTGACCCCATTTTTGGGCTTCCTGACCCATTTCTTGACTCTCTGACCCATTTTTGGGGCTCCTGGACCCTTTTTTTACCTCCCTTACCCATTTCTTGGACTCCCTGGCCCATTTCTGGGGCTCCTGGACCCATTTCTTGGACTCCCTGACCCATTTCTGGGGCTCCCTGTCCCATTTCTTGGACTCCCTGTCCCATTTCTTGGACTCCTTGACCCATTTCTTGCACTTTCTGACCCATTTCTTACCTCCCCGATCCCATTTCCGGCGCGTCCCGCAGGCAGAAATCCAGCTTCCTGCCCAGCTACATCATCGACGTGCGGCAGCTGGACGAGAAGCTGCTGAACATCGTGGACATGCAGTTCCTGCACGGTTACTACGAGCCCACCCTCCTCATCCTCTTCGAACCCAACCAAACCTGGCCGGGGTGAGCACCCCAACCACCCCCTAACTCCTGCCCAGCTCTGGGGCGCCCCCTCCCGGGGGGAAGGGGGGGGGTGACGCGGCCGGGTGTCCCCGCAGGCGCGTGGCGGTGCGGCAGGACACGTGCAGCATCGTGGCCATCTCGCTTTTTTTGTCATCTGGTCCCTCAGCAGCCTCCCCTTCGACTGCACGCAGGCGCTGGCCGTCCCCAAGCCCATCGGTGAGCGAGGGCGGCGCGGGGACGGTGACGTCGCAGTGACGTTGTGACGGTGACGTCGTTGCAGTGACGGTGACGTTGTGACAGTGACATTGTCGCGGCGACGTCGCGGTGATGGTGACGTCGTCGCGGTGACAGTGATGTCGCGGTGACGTCGTGGTGACGTCGCGGTGACGGTGACGTCGTCGCGGTGTCTCTCTGCCGGCAGGGGGCGTGGTGATCTTCGCCGTCAACTCCCTGCTCTACCTCAACCAGAGCGTCCCCCCCTACGGGGTGGCCCTCAACAGCCTCACCAACGGCACCACCGTCTTCCCGCTGCGTAAGGGGCCTTCCTCCTTCCTCCTCCTCCTTCCTCCTCCTCCTTCCTCTTCCTCAGCCTTCTCTTCCTCCTTCTCCTCACTTGTTCCTGTTCCCCTTCCTGTTCCTCCTTCCCCTTCCCCTTCTCTCTTCCTCTTCCTCTTTCTCCTCCCTCTTCCTCCTTCTCTTCCTCCTTCCTCTTCCCCTTCCTCTTCTCCTTCCTCTTCCTCCTCCTCTTCCCCCTTGCTCTTCCTCCTTCCCCTTCTTTTTTCCTCATCCTCTTCCTCCCTCCCGTCCCCCTTTTCCCTTCCTCTTCCTCCTTCCTCTTCCTCTTTCTCCTTCCGCTTCCTCCTCCTCTTCCTCCTTCCTCTTCCCCTTCCCCTTCTCTCTTCCTCTTACTGTTTCTCCTCTCTCTTCCTCCTTCTCTTCCTCCTTCCTCTTCCCCTTCCTCTTCTCCTTCCTCTTCCTCCTTCCTCTTTCTCCTTCCTCTTCATCCTCCTCTTCCTCCTTCCGCTTCCCCTTCCCCTTCTCTCTTCCCCTTCCTCTTCTCCTTCCTCTTCCTCCTTCTCTTCCCCCTTCCTCTTCCTCTTTCTCCTTCTTTTTTCCCCCTTCCTCTTCCTCCCTCCCGTTCCCCTTTTCCCTTCCTCTTCCTCTTCCCCCTTCCTCTTCCCCTTCCCCTTCTCTCTTCCTCTTTCTGTTTCTCCTCTCTCTTCCTCCTTCTCTTTCTCCTTCCTCTTCCTCCTTCCTCTTCCTCCTTCCTTGTTCCTCTTCCCCTTCCTCCTCCTCTTCCTCCTTTCTCTTCCCCTTCACCTTCTCCCTTCCTCTTCCTCTTTCTCCTCCCTCTTCCTCCTTCTCTTCCCCTTCCTCTTCCTCCTTCCCCTTTTTCCCCTCATCCTCTTCCTCCTTCCCATTCTTTTTCCCTTCCTCTTCCTCTTTCCCCTTCTTTTTCCCCTTCCTCTTCCCTTCCTCTTCCTTCTCCTTCTTCTTCTTTCTCTTCCTCTTCCCTTTTCCCTTTCTCTTTCTCCTGCCTCTTCCTCTTCCTCCTTTCTTTTCTTTCTCTTTTTCTTCCTGTTCTTCTTTCTCTTTTTCCTTCCTCTTCCTCCTCCCTTTTCCTTCTCCTCCTCGCTTTTTCCCTTCCTGTTTCTCATTCTCTTCCCCTTTCGTTTCCCTTTCTCTCCTTCTCTTCTATTCGCTCTTCTTTCTCTTTCTTCTTTCTCTTTCACCTCCTCTTCCTCCTCCTTTTCTCTTTCTCCTTTCTCTTTTTCCTTCCTCTTCCTCTTCCTCTTTCTCCTTCCTCTTCTTTTTCTTTTTCCTGTTCTCTTTTCTCTTTTTCCTTCCTCTTCCTTGTCCCTTTTCGTTCTCCTCCTCGTCCTCCTTCTCTTCATCTTTCTCCTCCTCTTCCCCTTCCTTTTCCTCTTCTTCCCCTTCCTCCTCCTCTTCCCCCTTCCTCTTCCTCCTCCTTCCCCTTCTTTTTCCCTCATCCTCTTCCTCCTTCCCGTTCCCCTTTTCCCTACTTCTTCCTCCTTCGCCTTCCCCTTCCTCTTCCACCTCCCTTTTCTTCCTCCTCTTCCTCCTCTTCTTCCCCTTCCCGTTCCCTTTTTCCTTTCTCCTGCCTCTTCCTCTTCCTCCTTCCTCTTCTTTTTCTTCCTCTTCCTCTTCTTCTTTCTCCTTTTCCTTCCTCTTCCTCACTTTTCCTTCTCCTCCTCGCCCTGGTTTTCCTCCTCTTCCTCCTTCCTGTTCCTTTTCCTCCTCCTCCTTTCTCTTTCTCCTTCATATTCTTCTTCCGCCTTCCTCTTCCCCTTCCTCTTCCTCCTCTCTTTTTTTCCTCCTCTTCTTCCTCCTCTTCCCCTTCCCTTTCCCCTTTCTCTTTCTCCTTCCGCCTCCTCCTTCCTCTTCCTTTTCCTCCTCCTCCTCCTCCTCCTCTCCCCCCACATTTGGGGGTGCAGGGGGTTGATCCTCACCCCCGTGTCCCCCGCTTTCGCCAGGGGTGCAGGAGGGGGTGCGGCTGACGCTGGACTGCGCCCAGGCCACCTTCATCTCCCACGACAAGATGGTCATCTCGCTCAAGGGGGGGGAGATGTGAGTTTGGGGGTGCCCTGGGGGTCCTGTGGGGCTGCTGTCACC